GAAGGGAGGGAGGAAAGCTCCCTCCCCCCCCCCGCGAACCCATTTTCCCCTTAAATCCCCCTTTTCAGAGCGATGCTTTTGTCAGGCGAGGAGGTGTCCCCTGCCAAGGCTGGCGGTGCAATGAATGGAGGGAGGTTTCTTGGAAGGCAGCGGGCTCGGGGCTGCCTCCAAGTTTTGCGAGCCTCCAGGGGTGACACTATTTGTATTCCTGTGGTCCTCACCGGCTGGAAACTGGGGGGGGAGAAGCCGAGCTCCTTGAGAGCAGGGACACAGCCAGGGCTATGAATGTTTAACCTCTGTGGCAAAGGATGGGGGCTTTAAAGGCCAAATCCTCACTGTACTTTGCACTCCAGAGTAACAGTGTTCTCGCTGTTACCGGCTCTGAAACGCTCCGGTCCCCTCTGCTGCAGCGGAGAGGGGGTCTCGGTCGGGGATCACCCAGGCTGCTCGGGAGACCTGCGCTACGAACCCCATTTGGAAGCGGGGTTGTGAATTAGCGGCTGGGCAGCTGGTTTTTGGTGGTCTCGTCAGGTCTTTTAAGAAGGTGTTGCCTTCTCAGAATGGAGAAATAAGTAGTAACTACAGAGGAGGCCAGGAAGGGAGCGGGCTGATTGCAGGTCAGGACAGGACAGAGGTGTTTTACTGCAGTGGCCTGGGATTTGCTGTACTTACTTGTTGTCGCTATCATGTTATTTGATAGAAATACTCTAAAAAATAGGCCCTTAGTATCCATTGAGTGGAAGTCTTTGGTGAAGGATCCTATCTTCTAATAAAATGCAAGTCCTAAAAATCATATTGAAATCCCTAATATATTTATCCTCCCGAAAGCAGCACCGGTAGTAATCAGTTCTTCTGTTACCAGTTTACTTGGTGTTGTGCACTGCAAACTCATTTGTATATAGCATCGTTCACTCTTCCCCTGGATAATTATGTGCTTATATTTGGATTGGTTTCTCATGCAATGATAGGAACGAGGTAAACATTGTAGAATAAGTTAACAGGCTTCTGAGACAAATGAAAACTTAGAAAGGATTTAAACCAGTTATTCTTCTATTTTAAACATGTATAACATATCCAAAGTAGATAACTTTCAGAATAAAGGTACTTTGTAAGTGGCTGGTTTGGTTTTCAAGTGCGTTGTTGTATCTGAACGCCTCTGCTATTAACTCCAGCTCCACACCAATAAGAAAATTATGAGAGTAACTTGATGTACTGTAGGCTAAGGATGTCAGCCTGTCAGGTAATATCATCTCCTCCTCTCCATCTACTTCCATCTCCTTTGATCCCCATTTTGACCCAAATGAGAATGTGCATTATAGTAAATGACACAGTGAAGACCACGTGTTTATAACCGTCTATAACCAGTACGTTCGGGCAACTGTCTGCTTTTGAGTTGTTTTAACACGGTTGATCGGGGTTGGGGATTAATGTTGTGACAGAAATCAAAGGGCTATTTTATTTTTCTTAGTAAACTTTTAATTCTCCATCTTCTTTGATCTCTTCTCCGCCTGTTCTCCATCCTGGC